CATCCAGCAATCGTTTGCTCGCGTAATACACTGGCCACTGAATTCTGTCCCTTCCTGAATGAGAGTTGTGCTGACCGCATACTAAGAGACGGACAGGTAAAGAAATAAGATTTTCTTGGGAAGGGGCTTGGATAGAAAATGTGGCTTTTTGATGTGTTCTTTTATACTCTGGAAGGCTCGCTCACACTCTGGAGTCCATTCAAATCCCTTGTTGGCCTTGAGTATATTGAAGAACAGCAAACAATGATCTATTGCTCTCGATATGAAGCGACTAAGAGCCGTTGTTCTCCCATTCAAGCTTTGAACTTGCTTTTGATTGGTAAAAATTTTCATATATAGGAGAGCTTGGATCTTCTCGTTGTTGACTTCAATTCCCTGATGGTTAACCATATACTAAGGAATTTCCCTAAGGATACTTCAAATAAACACTTAAGAGGATTAAGTTTCATTCTATATCTCTAGAGTATGTTGACCATTTCTGCGAGGTTAGCTATGTGATTTGAAGAGACATGCGACTTGACCAGTATATCATCAACATAGACCTCTATTGTAATAACCGAGGTATGCTCCTCGTCAGGCGTGTATATCGAGATCTGATTATACCCCGAGTAGGCATCCATGAAATTAACAGCTTGTGCCTAGAAGTGGCATCAATAAGCTGATCGATTTTGGGTAGCAGGAAATTGTCCTTCAGACAAGCTTTGTTGAGATAGATGAAATCAACACAGGCTTGCCATTTGCCGTTAGGTTTCTTCACCAAAACAAGATTGACGACCCAATTCGGGTAATGAGCCTCCCGAATAAACTCGATTGAGAGGAGCTTATCCACCTTAACCTTAAAAGCAACATAACGCTTTAGGCCCAAGGCTTTCCTTTTCTGGCAAACTGGCTTGATCTCACTATCAATGTTGAGTGCATAATATCTTACATTCGTGCTGATCCCGATCATGTCAGCATGAGTCCACACAAAAACATCTATATTCTGCCTAAGGAAGCTCGTTAGGTCGGTAGCGAACTGAGTACTGAGATTGCTTCCGATTCTCAATACACGAGTCAACTCATTCTGGTTGACTGATACCTCAGATAGAGTCTCACAGGCCCACTATGGGAATACTCCTCCTGAACACGAGGATCAATGTTGTCTTACACTAGAACTGGCTATAGTTCGATCCTGCTGATCGCCATAGCCTGCTCGGGAACGCCCACTGGCTTCCCTTTCCCTTTAAATGTCATCTATACTACTCTTACATAGCAGTCGCAAGATTCACGCTGAACCCTTTGACCTTCTCAAACCCTGTCGAAGTGGGAAATTCCATCTTCAGATGATAGATGGAGTTGACAGCTTTAAAGCTCCAGAGTAGAGGTTGTCCCATTATGCCATTGTAAGTAGACAAACAATCTACCACTAGAAATTCTATCATCTTGGTCACTTCGTGGGTCTCACCTAAAGTGACAGGAAGTGCAATCGTTCCCTTGGGAATTAGATTGTCCCTTGTAAAGCCATGGAAGGGGATAAAGGCAGGCTTCAAATTTGCCTCTTCCAATTGGATTTCCTCGAATACTCGCTGAAATAGGATGTTCACAGCATTCCTGTTATCCACCAACATTTTGTGGACTTTGCACTGACTTATTTCAGCCGCGATGATGAGTGCATCCTCATAAAGATGATGCAATCGTACCGGATCTTTCTCTGAGAAAGTAATCTCCTCCTCCTTGCGCACCTTAACAGGTTGTTACGCCGTGTTTAACACACTCACAGGGTTATGGTGAGCTTCTCAAGCATACTTCTCCTGAGCACCTTGAGAATTCCCCGCAAGGTGCAGCCCTCCAAATATAATTCCGATTCAATAGAGGCCCTTGCGAGCACGATGTTTCTTCCCGTTGTCCTCTTGATCCTTCTCCCGAATGGGAGTCGGACCATTAACATACTCCTTGAAGTGACTCTTTTTAATGAGGTCTTCAATAGCCTACTTAAGAGTTTGACATTCATCGATATGGTGCCCATTGTCCCGATGATAACAGCAATAGTTCTTGTTGTTTCTTATAAAAGAGGTGTTTTTCATGGGCTCTGGCTCTTTAAGAAGATTAGCTTCTTCTGATTTATCCAGAATAGCTCATACCGATGCGTTCAATGGACTGTACTCGCGACGAAGAACTTGAGCATAAGATTTCTTGGGCTCAAAACATTGTTTCTTTCCCTTTCCCTGATCGTCATTAGCTCATTTGCAATCAGGTCTTCTATCACTCTCTCCCCAGTTTTCCTCCCTTCGATTGGGAGCGCTGGTCAAAGGACCGAGGTCGTGGCGATTCAAAGTAGCCATTGAATTTTCAATTCTGAGATATTTCTATGGTGAAGTTGTAAAAGCGGGTGAGGGAAATATCATCCTCGGATTGCAGTTTCTTCCATAGGTTAGTTTACAGGCGAACTCCCGCAATAATAAGAGTTCAAACTGAATCTTCAGGGGTATTAGCCACCTTGTTCAACTGCCTGCGAAACCCGCCGATATAGGATTGGGGGGATCATTCCTCCCTTGCCATATGTTGCTCAGATAGCTCAATGGCATTGAGAACTTCCTATTAGCCTGGAAGTGTCTCAAAAACAACGAGCGCATCTGCTACCATGAGTTAATAGATCATGGTGGAAGCAATCTAAACCTACGTTTAGCATGGGCAGTTAGAGTCACTGCTAAGCAAATATTTCGCCAAGTTAGAAACTTGGTGAAGCTCCATGAGGTTGTTAAACTCATAGAGATGATCATACGAATTAGAATTCCCTCCAAATGCTCGCTTATTGGGCATTCTAAACCTTGACGAGAGAGGAGCAATCAACACTGCTGGAGAAAAGGGAAACACCTCAATGACCTGCCCTCGCTCATTCTGCTGAGCTCTAAGTTGATCCAAAGCTTGCTATAACTCTTGAATCTGAGAAAGCGGAGCCACCTGAGGATCACTTTCTGCAATGTGGGTTCGCTCCCACAATTGTGATTGAGGAAAGACTGCAGATCAAACTCTTCTTCGCCTTGGTCGAAACCTCTGGCATACCTTGACACATATTGGCTAGAGCATGTGAAGGCACTGAATGACTTAGGGAGTTATCCCAACCTCCACAGTGGTCAAAACCGACTTGTGTTTGTTGGGTATTTCCCTCGCGGTGATGGTCGGAACCATCATTCTGGCAATAGTAGGAATCTTCATGTCGTGCACTCTTGTGGGGGTGCCTATGCAATATGGCGTGAGACGGCTCATGATGTGACATACCACCAAGTCGCAAAGCCACAGGTATTTTACCTACCTCACGACCGGTATTCATTGGCCCCTTCGAGCCTCTTGGCCCATTGTCAGCCACCTATTTTCCCTTATTTTGACACACTGTAATGTATATGGTATGAGCTTTCACTTGTTTTCATGCTTTAGCGCAACCTACAGGCATTTTTAGAGGTGGTACTGCCTTGTCAAAATTGGGCAGTACGACCTGATCCAAACGATCTAACCTTTAGTTAACCGTTTGGAGAGTATTATTGAACCTCTCCAAGTAATTCATCACAACTAGATCGACTGAGAGGTCGAGGGAATGTTCGCTGCAGTACCTTGAGGAATTGGAGGCACTTCGAGAAAAGTAACATCCTTTACCCGGGGGATTTCCTAGTTGTTGGTGCTAGTTCGCTCGGTTTCAAAACCACAAGCCATTTGTTCACAAGTAAAACTGATTGATCAAAGATTCTAAATGAAGAGCGGATATAAAATCAAGTCCTCCTTCTAGCGCCAAATTGTTAATGCGTGATTTTGACACCAATGACTCGTACGTGCAAAGTGCTAAAGTGTTCTTACAAATTACACGTGAATGATTATAATTAGATACAAAGACTGAATAATAAATGAGAGATGTGATTTTTAAAGTGGTTTGGATGCTTAAAGCAAATCCTACGTCCACTGTTTCTTTTATATATGAGAGATTACAAGGGATCACGTATAGCGAATAGTGAATAGAGGTACAATAACTGAGTATTCAGAGAGAATATAAAGTCAGTCTCTTTCCCATAGGTTATCTTTGCTCTAAAAATAAATATTAGAATCAGAATGAGGGTTCAGTCTCAGAATCTCGAAAATGAGAGGGAAAATCCTCTATTTATAGTAGAGGAATTCAAGGTGATGATTACAAACCTGTAAGTGGGTAGGTACCGTGCAAGTCCTTCCTTGCCTCCTATTGGCTGATAACTTAAGAAATATCCTCAAATTATCTAGGGCTTAGACATGTGTGCGGTCCTCAGTCAGTCACAGATGAAACCTGAATCTGCTAAATTGGTGACAACCATATTCTTTCTGCCATAAAGCAACATGGCAACTCCTGGACAGGGCAAATCCTTCCTAAACTCTGATTGGTGTTTGTTAACATAGGCTAACGTCAACCCTGACTTTTTAGGCATAACACAGTAAATTATCAATTGACTCAATTTACAAAACTAGTTTAAAATGATCATAATTCAAACATTTTAAAAAACAATCTTTTCATGCTATATTTATTCAAATATTTTTTCTTGTTTTATTGTTAATAGATCTATGCTTGCATGACAGGGATGAGGGATGTCAAAAAGCTAGAAGTGAAGGGTTTCTTTGTAATTTTTATTTGATTATATTTATGTAGTAAATTATTTAATTAATTAATTAATGGTTTTGAATAAGAAATTAGTAGGTTCATTAATTAAGTTCATCTAACCGAAACTAATTACTATTCAAAACCATATTTTACCTTGAAAATAATTTTAATACTTTTTAAAATATTGTTGTGTTATTAAGATATAACATTTTTTTTCTCTTTTATAAATGAAAGTGTCTAACCAGTTTACATATACTTCAACAAATCTGTTAATATCTTAAAATTATAAATTGGATAAAAGTTCTGACGACGGCCTATTAGAAATAGAGAATAAACTCAATCTTAAAACTTTTCTAGTGATAAATCTAAAGGTCTCCATCTATCTCACCACTAGGACAACCAAAAAAATATAACTCATTCTTTAAACCTCACAAAACTTACGATAGCAGTTAAGTTCTGTAACATTCCTGCCAATATAACCACATACAAGAATAAAAAAATGCAGAAACTCTTCAAAACCAGCCATGGATATCTCTATCATTTCCTCAAAAAGAACCCTACATTTGTCGTACCCATTTCACATCTCCACACCTCCACTCAAACCCTTGACTCAGATTCGAGGGTCGGCTTTATTTTCAATGAACTGGAAGAGATACAATCCTCAAACCCAAATGCCAGATCATCATCACAGGCCCAAGAACTGTCCATTTTTAGTGAAAGAAATGAAGAATTGGAATCAACGGTTCAGATTTCACATCCGTGGCCAGAGTGGGTGGACTTGATGGAATGTTTGTTGAAAAAAAGGTACTTTGATGGAGATGGAAACCCTTTTAACAGTAAAAGTGATGAGCTGGGTTCGAAGGAAGCAAATTGCATTCGTACTGCATGCCTTAATTTTGCCCGGGATCGCTTTAGTCTTATAAGGTATGGACTTATGAAATGTGCCCGCCACCTGTTTGATTTTATGACTATGAGAGCGAAACTTACATTTATTTGCTTGAACTTTGCTTTCTTATTCATTTGAGTGTTTGTTTTGTGTTAAGATTTTTGGTAGTGAAGGAGCTAATCTTTGGTAAACCTACTGTTTAGTGGGACTTATATCTATGAATAGGATGATCAATAGGCATGTCTACTTGTTAGGTAGTAATGACATTTCATGGGTAGTAATAGGCATTCGGCTCATAAATATAAATATCATTGCTATATTTAGTATAATGATTCGAAATTTCCTTGTAACTGATTTTTGTAGTTTTATTAATAATATGCATAGAAGGTATTTGTCAAAACATTTTCATTAGCATGTTATAATCTCTTTTGCATGACTTGGAACATCATTTACTTGAACGGTTGGTAATTTTAGAATGAAAAACTACGCGTCATGTTTTGAAACATACTTATAAATGATATGAAAATATCGTTTTTGTTGGAAAGGATGTGTCATAAATTGTTAACTATATCCTTTTAGTATTGTCAAAGCTCAAATTGAGTATTTTGCTAAACACAACTAAATAAGATATTGGTGGTAAGTAATGTAAAGAGCTCGTATAAATTCTAGAGAATTCAATTAAATTGTGACAAACATCAATTAAACATGGAGGTTTAATTTTAATTAAATTTTGAAGAAGTTTCAACTAGGTTTTTACATATTGAACCACTTGGGTGTGGTGTGCTATTAACCTAATTGCGATCAACCTTAATATATTTAAGGTCCAAAGAAAAGAATTATGTATTGAGTTATTATTTATAGTTAATAAAAGATTACTATTTGAAGATAAAGTTTAATTAATCATTATTTAAATGATTGATGCATTAGTTTGTAATCTCTTATGTTTATGAAAATGTTATCACAACTTTACTAAACTCAACTTCAATTTTTCTTTCTCGTTTTTTTTTTTTTTTTTTTTTTTTTTTTTTTTTTTTTTTTACTAACTCTAGCTCTTTAGAGTTGTATCTACCCATAAAGGGCCAAACATCACAACTGCAAAAGAATTTAGAAAAACTCAAATTCTTTAAAACCAGCCATGGGTATCTCTATCCTACTCTCAACAGGAACCCTGCCCATATCGCATCTCAAAAACCCAAAAGATCCCTGGACTCAGATTCAAAGCTAGGTTTAATTTTCAATGAAATTGAAGAGCCATAATTCTCAAAATCTGGAAACTAAATTTTCATATCATCATCAGAAACCCCAAGGTTGGTCTGGTTTTACTGGACCAGCGAGAGAAACTATGGCCTGAGCGGGTGGACTTGATGGAAAAGGGTACTTTGATGGAGATGGAAACTCTTTTAATTGTAAAAGACATAGCCTGGGTTTGAAGGAAGCAAATTCTATCCATACTGCATGGATAAACTCTTTTCCAAGTAATTCTCTCTGTTTGAACACTGTGTTTCTGTACCAGAAGTTACCAGTAACTTTTTGTTACTGAGGTTTCAAAGGGTTAAAATTTCAGAGTTATACAGTCCTCTCTGTTTGCATGGATTCTGAACTTTGTATATCTTAGAGCTTATGCTCTCCAAATGGGTTTTCTGCTAGGTATTTCTCAAGGAAAAATATTCAAATAATTGCTGGATGCGGATGCCCAAGTATAGACAGGAAAGTTGTAAACTCAGGGAAGCGTCTAAGGGCACATGTGGGCATTGACGAAGGAAATGTACGTACAGAGTTTTATTTTTAACATTTGCCTCTCTGTTGATTTATCCATAAAAAAACTCTTTTTTTGCTCAAATGTTTTGGTTTTTAAATTATTATATCCTAAAAGAATAGATGCTTAAATGAATCATCATTCATTTATTACGTGCACTGAACATGGACAACCATCTTAGTAGGTTTGCAGCTCCTGCAACTTGAGGGGAAACTGTGAGAGGGCATATGTTAAGGCACGTGAAGATGAAGGTGGACGAACAGTGGATGTTATGCGTATTTTGTTAACATATGGGCTTGATCCCATTACTGGTACCGTGGAGAACAAGCCATGTCTAAACAAATTGGTTAAAGAAGCAGTGAGAAGGCTGCTGAAAGAAATGGTGGAGTGTAGCACCAAGGAACCTGACTCCAAGCTCTCAAGTGATGGACCCTTGAAAGAGAGGGGACCAGTTCAAGATCATTTAAGTCCACAAGGAAGCCACATAAATGTTCCAATGAAGCAAGGAGATTGGCGTTGCCCCACGTAATATGACTATTGATATTTAGCAATTTAAAATTTATAATTCTTTTTTGTATGTTTGTATAACATATTTCCCTGTTTCTTTCATCATGTAGATGTAACTTCCTAAATTTTGCAAGAAATATTAGGTGCTTGCGCTGTGATGGTTTATTTCTGGATAGACTTAGGCAACTGAGGGAGGATCAGGATCACCTTCCACTGAAGAAGGGGGACTGGATTTGTGATAAGTAATAATTGTTCAGAATTTCTGACTTTCCAATTCTTGTGGTTCTATTTCTTACTTTCATTTCTTACAGATGTAATTTCTTGAACTTTGCAAAGAATACAAGATGCCTGCAATGCAAAGAAAATCCACCAAAGCGGAAACTCAATCCCGGGGAGTGGGAATGTGAATCGTGAGTGCACTTCCATATTTAGTCTTTGTAACTCTCTAGATGTCAACGTGCAAATAATTCCTTTTTAGAAATGTGTCCAACATGATTAGAGGTTTGTGTTTTTTAGGTGCAACTATATCAATTTCAGAAGAAACATGGTTTGCTTGAAATGTGATCATAGACGACTAAAATCATCTACTGCACCCAACACTTCTGCTCAATCACAATATGGAAATGGAGGCTATCAGAATCGTGGTGGATTAAAGGGTATAAATGATAAAAATGAACTGAATTACCATAATCAAGTTGGGCAAGATAGACAAAGTCAAAACATAGGTGCAGATATGTGGAGATTTGTGGAGGAAGAGAGTGAAGACGATGATCAATCAAATTCTAGATTTGTTGATTTTCCCATTGCAGGAGGTAAGAGTGAATTGTCTCGGAATCCAAAAATCAGAGAAAAATGGAAGCTTGAGATATTGGAAAGGAAAAGAGGGACAGTGAGTAGTACAAGAGAAAATGACGATTCTAATGCTACTTTTAGCCAGAGAAGGTCGGACTTCATTGAATCTACTGATGACGAAGACATGGCTGGATGGTTTGGGCATAAATAAAAGACAGAAACCGAATGATCAATCTGTAATGAAAATTATCCAGATTGGCTAAAAAGAAATGCATTTATTGTCAAAAACATAGCAGTTTATAGCGATGGTTTGATTAAATTTACTGGTCCCAAGTTACTATTTGTCTTTGCAAATCAAGCTTCGTTGGCTCTCTGCTGTCATGAACAAACCACAGAGAAATGAAAGCTCACCATGTTAACACCCAGTTGCTTCTCATTGCAACTTGAATACTGTCACTGTATACACCAGTTTGTACAAGACACGAATCTTAAAAGTAAATTCTTGGATGAAATTATAGCTTGAAAATCTCAGTCAGATTTTAATTCCTTCGATGCGTCTGACAGCCTATAGTAATTTACTAGTGATCTGCCACCTAACTCCTTTGTGAAGAACCTTCTCATATAATCTGCATAGGTGAATTGCTGAAAATGAGCTGGTTTGTCAGGTGATATTAGCTCTGGGAAAGGTTGGTACAGGTTATTCATCTCGCTTGCGCCAAAGAAAACTGCAGTTGAGATTCGTGGTTCAGAGGATGGATTAGCCAACACTCTATGCTCCACACTTTTGTATTCATCATTGGACATAATCTGGAGAAACAAAGGTAAGCAAATAGAAGTTTTTAGTTCATGATATTTCATTTAAAAATCTAGAAGTTGAGCTGCAATATTTTCTAATCATCATAACTTGTTTTCCCTAGAAAAATTGTATTTTCTTCTTTACTTTCTCATCAACCAAACATCTCAATTAGTTCACAAATTGATGCCTAAATCCGAGAAATCAACGAGAAAAGACAAGTACTTCAATACAAATCTTTGAACATGCATTTTCACCTGAAGAGCATCTCCAGTGTTGATAACAAGAGTTCCAGGGACAGGTTTAACATCCACCCACTCTTCACCATACTGAATCTGCAACCCACCTACATGATCCTGAAGCAAAACCGTCAATGCTCCCGGATCTGTATGAGGCGCAATCCCCACCGTCAGATCAGCCTGTGGACAGTACGGATAGTAATGAGCCACCATCGCCCTCCCTTCCAGAAAACTCATCTCCTTCAACGTCCCTGTCTCCACTCCCAACCCTTCACACAACAGCCCCATTAAGAGCGCACCTAGCCCTTTAACACGCTCATTCCATTCCACCAACTCATTTCTGCATATTTCAGGAATTTCTTCAAGCTCTGGTGGGGTTGGACCCAGCCTTATCTGCAGTGTGTCCCTGCAAAATTAAACAATTAACAACGTACTTGTATAGCAAACTTTTAATTGAGTTATAAATGAAGAAACCATACTTCCATGTTGCAGCTTTGGAGTGAAACAAGTCAAGGTTCGAAAAGAAAGACATGCCGACCGTCCTATCTCTACGTACAGCCGTGTCTTGATCTCGGCGGGCTGTTCATGAAATGCTTTGATAGCGCTAATCAGACGCGCCAAAACCTCCACTGGAATCCCATGATTAACAACCTGAAAGAACCCCAGCTGACGTGATGCAGAAGCAATCTTTTCCACAATGGTGGCTCGCAAGTCAGTGTCAACCCCGGACAAGTCGATGGTGGGAAGGAGGTGAGAGTCGGAGGAGTTGGGCTTGGGCATGAGGGTGGATAGTGTTTCAGGTGGGTGGATGAAGAAGCCGAGAATGGTGGTGATGCCGGCGTCAACTAAACCTTTGACTCCGAGTTTTGTGTCGTCGAAATGCTGGACATCTTTGGCCCTGTCGTTGAATACTGTGCTCATTTTAAGAGTGTTCTCTTGTTTTGGGCTTCGGTTGTATCTTTATATCATGAATAAAGATACGATTGAAGTGTGAGCCGGCTAAATTTTTTTTTTTTTTTAAAGGAAACGAAATCATTCATAGATTTGGTTAATGACATATAAATGCATGTAAAATCAATTCGTTAAATGAAGATAAATTATATGTTAATTGAATGGCAATGCAACATTACATAATATTATTAATTTCTATCTAAATATATTGGTTATCTGGTTGTTCTTTCAAGAGTAAAGATTGCAGCAATGATGTTAACGTTCATATAGCATGTATGAATAATACACGTATTCATATGTTTATTCAATAAAATCTTATATTATATATATATATGTAAAAGAAGGAAAAGTAATGCCTGAAATGAAGCTCATTTGTAAAATTTTGTTGCTTCTGATTGGCATTATTGTAATAGTGTCACTGTGTACACAGGCTTGTGCATTATACAAATTATCTTAAAGATTACATTTTTACGTAATCCTTCAATCAGATTTACATTGTACTTCATTCTGTTTTCTCAGTGCCTGACAGCCTATAGTAATTTACTAAAGATTTGCCATCCAACTCCTTTGTGAAGAACCTTCTCATATAATCCATATAGGTGAAGGGCCGGAAAACAGCTGGCTTCTCTGGTGATATCAACTCCGGGAATGGTCCACACAAACAATCCTTGTCGCCCGGGTTGAAGAAAACTGCAACCGAGATTCGTGGTTCCTGGGATGGATTAGCAAACACTCTATGTTCCACACTTCTGTATTCATCATTGGACATAATCTGAAGAGCCAGACGTAAAAGCTCGAGGTGAAAAATGTGTAACAAGCAGTAGTTCAATAATTTTAATTTTCTGAGATACAAGGATTACAAGAATCTTATATATATTGTAAACGGAGTTAGCATAAATGTCAAGTGTTTTCAAAGCTTTTTACACGTTTAACCAATTATACATCTCCTCAATAAGCGCACTCAGAAATTCACAGAAATTGGAATAGAAACTTATACAAAGGACATATGTTTAGTTGCCCCAATTGAAATCAAGTACGAAAACATAAAAGTATCACGTAAACGTAGAATGGGGACAAAAGAGAAACGTTTTCAAATTAACAATATGATTGTTTCATTCACAAATTCTGAAAGTTCAGATGCATCATTGAGCTAACCAGTAAGTTTCTGATCTTCTTTAAAAGGAAAAAGAATATAAAACCTACTTTCATATTAGCATCTTCACCAGTTAGTTGATCTAAACAAATAGTTCTTGTTTCTCGTAAGTGAAATATGCCATTTTTCACTTCCATTTTAAAGTACTGCAGTTTATTTGCGAAAATTAGATCAGGTTATTAATTTATATTCTCTTTTCTTTTTTTTTTTGAAGAGTGATGATGGGGAGAACATAAGCGAGCTTACTCATCCCCTCTTCACAACCATCTCTCATCCATTTTCAAAGAAAAAGAGGTATCATTTTCACTCAGAAGTAAATAATAAAATCATAACAGTATATTAACATCCTGAAGGTTTCCAACCTTTATAAATTATCGCATAAAACTTAAAACTTCTTTACCTGAAGTATATCTCCAATGTTGATAACAAGAGCTCCAGGGACAGGTTTAACATCCACCCATTCCTCACCATACTTAACCTGCAGCCCACCAACTTGATCCTGCAGTAAAATTGTCAAAGCTCCTGGATCGGTATGAGATGTAATTCCCACCGTAAGATCAGGCTGCGGACAGTACGGATAGTAATGGGCCACCATGACCCTCCCTTCCAAAAAAGTCATCTCCTTCAACCTCCCTATCTCCACTCCCAACCCTTCACACAACAGCCCCATCAAGAGCTCCCCCAGCTGTTTAACATGCTAATTCCACTCCACCACCTCTATTCTACATATTTCAGGAATTTCATCAAGCTCTGGTAGGGTCGGACCCAACCTTACCTGCAGCGTGTCCCTGAAAAATTAAAACAAGTAACCATTTCATTCTCAACCATATATGTCCTTGAAAATTTCCCAAGAAAGTCACTCAGAAAATCTGTCAACATCTTTATCCTACTATCCCCTTTTGAATGTCGTCCTATTCTAAAGGAAACCTTCTCTATAGGTTAACAAATAACGCAAACTTCCCCATCATTGAAAAAGGCAAAGGCAAACTTTCTATCCGCGTGTATTTTGGCTCAAACTTGAAACTATCCCCTATAATAACCCAATTGGCTAGGCACATAAAGGATGCGTACCCCATTGCCAATTATGACTCATGTAACAATTACAAATGAGTAGAACTCACCGTTATTGGGCGTCCCAAGTAGGTGGGTAGAACTCACCCTTACATAACCAAGGTGGGTGCCAATCTCACTGAGGTATACCAATTGTAACAACTACAAATGGGTAGAAAAGAGTGCCCAGGTGGTTAATAACCCACATGCCAAGCCTATTCCAAGCGCCGTGGGACTCAATTAGAATAGTTATAATCTCCACCTACATTTCTATATAAATTCGTACATAATATTTGTACCATGCGGACCTAAGATGGAGAATCAAAATTTGTACCAGAACTCAAATACATTCAAGATTTTGTCTTTTTCCTCACAAAAGAAGTAAAAAAATATGATGTGACATCTCAAATGAATTTAACTTTCCATTGTACTTTACCTCCAGCTAGCAGCTTTAGATTGAAACAAATCCACGTTAGAAAAGAACGAAACTCCCGTCTTCATCTCTCTCCGATACACCCGCGCCTTCACCTCCGTCGGCTGTTCATGAAACGCTTTAATACCTCCAATCAAACGCTCCAAAACTTCCACGTCAATCCCATGATTAACCACCTGAAAAAACCCCAGTTCCCGCGATGCACGGCCGATCTTCTCCACAATCGTCGACCGCAATTCAGACTCCACCCCGCCCAAATCAATGGTGGGAATGATATTGGATTCGGGTCGTGCACCTGTCTCGGGTCGTTTAAGGTCAGATAGAGTTTCGGGAGGGTGGATGAAGAAACGGGGAATGGCGGTGATGCCAGAGTCAACTAGACCTTTGACTCCGAGTTTTGCGTCGTCGAAGTTTTTGAGTTCTTGAACTCTGTCGAGCGAGTGTTGGTGGGTGTTCATGGTGATGAATTTTGTGGGTTGTGTGGAGTTTTTGAGAAAACGAGGACGATGAGATTTGAAGGAAAGTGGTTGGCGGAGAACGAACTTGATGAAGTAAGAGTTGGTGGCATCAGAAGTTTTGACTTTTGAGTTTTTGGAAGATAACGCCGGCACCGGTTTGGTTTGGTTTGGAAGTAACTGGTATAAACAATTATTTTTTTAGTATTAAAAAAATAAATATTTTTTAATACTAATGTAATGTTTAATGTTTCACCAACAATAGAAAAACTTTTATCATCTCAAAAATTAAGAAATTTTTTGGTTTTCTTCTCTCTTCTTCTTCTTTAACCATTCTTTTATATTTGATCATATCTTAGATTCTTAATAAAGGCTCACTATAATTCGAATTGGGCCAATTTATCAAAATGGATCACAGAACCAGTCCACTATGTTCATCGTATTACATCTTAAAAGTCTCACGCCAAATTCTTTTTATTGATTTGGGCCCGATAGTCCATACCATTTGGTGGCATAACTCATCAGAAGAAAAACTAAATAAATAAATACGTTTAAAGACAATAACATTAATGCAAAAACATAAATTTTCATTAGATTGGATTTCAAAGATTAGATTGGCTTGAATTAGATTTTTTTTAAATGATGTTAATTAAATTCAATGAATCAAAATTAATTTGTAATAATAATTGTAAAGGAATTATATTGTCCCAAAGTTGTTCAACCATACCTTTAATAAGGGTGAGCAAAAATTTTGGGTGGACTCAGAATCGCAAGGTACCTAGTGTTCCGGTTCCTACCCAAACTGATATTATGCGGATAAGTTCCAGTTTTCCAAATTTAAGGAACTGGTATTGTGTGATTTTGATTCCATCACTTCAAGGAATCAGAACTGACTTGAGGACAAGAATAGGGCTGAAATAATGGAAGACTGAAGACGCAATGATGGGAGATGGTGGCGGTGGCGGTGGCGGTTGGCATTGCGCATGGTGCAACGAGCAGTCACGCAAGCGTAGAGATAGCTACACAAACGATGCAGATTGGCAAGGACCGACGACGACACAACTCAGGTAGGGTTGGGGTTTTCTGGGATAGTGACGAAGAACCAAGATCCAACGGTGCTATATTTTTAATTTGAATTTTGTGAATATTGCAGGGTACTCAAAACATAAACCTACTTGACAAGTTTTGATTTTGGTTCCCAAGATTTAAGAACCGCACAGTACATGTTCCGGTTCTAGTTCCAGTTCCTAAATCTTAAGAACCGATACTGTTCGGTTCCTGTGATTTGAGCCAGATACCTGGACCGGCTCACCCTTAACCTTTAATTTGTAGCCTAATCTCTCTCATTCCAAACAATGACTACATAATTTTGTCTTTCATTACTTTTTTTATAAGAGAAAACTTTATATGAATTTTAAAACTTGTAATTCATTCATAGAAGAGAATGTCAAATCCGAATATTATAATTTTGGAAAATCCAAATTATTGTAAGCTGACTGAGAAAAGAAAAAGAATTTGACTAAGTTTCACGCTTTAGAAGATTGCAAATCAATTAACTAGTTAAAACATAGTAGTTAAGAGCACATTAGTTATTGTCATTTGGAGAATTCGAGATTTTGGAAATATAGCAAACGTTTGCATTTGAGAATATAAATAAACTTTTGAAAACCAAGAGAGAGAGGCAATATTTAATAGTCAGATTAATAATGGTGCATAACTACAAACAAGTAATAGTCAGAGTGTGCATTGTTTTTTTCAGGACAAACAAACATTTGAAATCAAATTATGGGTCATTAAGGGTGTATTTGGTTCATTATTTTGGATAAGATTTTAAGAATAATTTTGGGTAATTGGATAGGGGAGTATTACAAAGTAAAATTTAAAAAATTTTGGGTAGTTGGATAGGGAAGTATTACGAGGTAAAATTTAAAAATTTATAAAAAAACCCCTAAGGTTTATTAATTTAATTAAACACCCTAATATGTAAAATGACAAAAATACCCTCACCACCCATAGTGCTAGATTCCGGCCACCACCGCCGGAATCTGGCCAGAAAATTTTATTACGACACAGACCGGTCGGATCTGTGTTGTAATGCGTCACTATGGCCTTTTCCGGCTAGATCCAGTTGACGGCCACATTTAGGCATAGATCTAGCCTTTTCCGGCTAGATGCACCACGGATCTGGCCAAAAAAGGCCAGATCTATGCCCAAATGTGGCCGTCAACAGCGGCAAAGGTCCATCGACGGCCGTTGTGATAGATTGCAGCTACCACCAACTGTGGTTGTCGGAATCTGGCAAGTACGGGTAGGTGGGGGTGTTTTTGCTAATTTTTAAACTTTTTTTTCTAGGGGGTATTTAGTAAAATTAATAAACTTAAAGGGTCTAAAAGTGATTAAAAAATTCACTAATATTTCTAGAATAATGTGCCAAACAATATTTGGGGAATATGATTGGGAATATGGGTAGAAATATTGAACCAAACGCACCCTAAATTCTCAGCAATTCCCTTTTCCCCTTAATTAACCAATTGCCATTATTGTTTTATTTTTTATAGAAAGTACCTAAACTTCAATCTATTTCCATTACATTTCTTTTTATGAACCACCTCACTGTATTTTCACATATAAATGGTCGATCTGTTTATATCCATCCTATAGGTTTGATTTTTTTTCTTGACTTGATTAAAACGACCTGCTCGTTGGATTTTCACATTTTTCTATAATTTTGGCCCTCTGTTTCTAATAGTAGAAAGTATAATACTTTATATATAAACTTTTCATACAAATTGATGAGTTTTAATATAATTAGATTATTTTAAATTAAGAATAAACTTAACAAATTAAAGGAGATGATATGTCAAACATGCAGGCTTGTCACATTAGTTCGTAAGGAATGATTTGTATAATTATTTTAACTTCTCATTTATACTATTATGGTTAGTGACGATACTATTTCTTGGGGTCCTTAGTCTATTCATGGATTATTCATAACATTACGTACTTGTTTAATGTGTTTTCAAAACATCTAATTTTTATTCAAAATTATATATTTATAGTTTGTTTTGCACTGTGCATTTTACATTAAGTACAATAATTTTGGATGATTGAAGAGACAAAGGTAGGGCAGGAGGTGTTGAAGTACAGAGAAAAGGACAGGAATCCAAGTTAATTTGGCACGTATTCTTTATGAACAAATTAAATGAGTTTTTTCTTATTGTCGAACACTCAATATTTATATCATTAATATTTTACTTTAATTAACCAACTACTACCAAAATTATTGATATTAATTTGGATGCTTTGATGTAGAAAAATCGGGCAGACAAAATAGAAAGTCCATTTCCATAAATTTCTACTCCATTTATCACCTCTTAATGTTTTATTTTTTATTTTTTTATTTTTTTTAATAACCGAAGGTGTTCGGATCAACTTATGCGTATCTCAACTAATCATCGGGAGTCGAGACTTTGAAACTACCAACCGGATAAGAGTTCCAGTAGTTATCCTTATTAACAACTGAAGAGGGTTCTTGAACTTAAGATCTCTTGAATAATACATCCAAGAGTCCCTATCGAACCATTCGGTCACCTAAAGATATTTCCTCTTAATGATTTTCATTTTTCACTTATAAATAGTAACGTAAAAGTTTTTTAGACAAAGTATTTCATATAAAGACACTGTGATGTGATACTGTTTTTACGTGAATATAAAAGTTATTAGTTAATTAATTTAACTTAAAAGTCTAAGTTATTAGTTAATTACTTGAATAATAGTACACATTTATGTATGCACATTCATATTTATTATTAAGTTTTGTTTATTACAAATAAATGCATCACTGAATTATGAAAATCTTGCACCCTATATGATATATAGAAATTCCATTTCCATTTCCCTACTTTCTACTGTAGAGTAATGTTAAGTTTACAGCTGAATCATACAAACAGATAAAAAATAAATGACATAATAGTTATTTTACATAAATTTTATATAATTTTTATCTGTTTATATAACTCAGTTATAAGTAAAACATTATTACTTCTTCATTTTTCAAGTACTCAAAAGGTAAGTAAAACATTATTGATTCCTCATTTTTCAAGTACTCGGAATAATTAATGAACGTACCTACCATTCAGCATTATTATTTTGTCAAGTGTTGATCCCAAATTACTTTTGCATAGTATTCGCTTTAATTAATAACATTAATTGTTTGATCTCTTAGAGAAAGTGATAAACACTATCCTAGTACAAATGCTTATCTGAAATAATATAATATCAGTTAAACAGGTTTTTTTTTTTTTTTTAACAGTTAATTATATAATTATCTTATCTTTTTTTTTTTTTAAATTTATCCGTACTATCACTAGTATGTTACTTAACCAGTTAATATTTACAACATAAAAATATGATTCATTCATTTATAAAATCATTATATAGGTGGGTGATCAGCTTTCAGCTATGCAAAATAATGGACTGACCATAATAGCTTACAGTATCCGACTAAAAGTAATTAATGAGTAGATGCAATACAGACTAAAGAAAGTGCACCAAATGATGTGATAAAATTTTGATCGTTTATTAATTTTAACTTAATATTGATCAATGATCAGGATTTTAACATATCATTCTGTGCATAAATTCGGTGTACTACTGTCAGTGTCTGTAACATTACTCCCAAAAAAAACACCAAAATGAATGTTTAGTTAAGAGAATATTGTATTATTGTGAATGTTATACTAATAAAAAGATAGATTATCTTGAAGATTACTATGAATGTTTAGGAAAATGTGTTTGGATAGTTAGAATAAATTGATGGATCTATTATATTAACATGTTTGGGATGGAAGAATAAATTGGTAGATATATTATATAATTTATTAAATTGGCTTCTTTTTAAATACTAATATAATATTATTTTTATTATTATTTTTTGAATAATTTCTTTTGACCCCTTACGTTTGAGATATTGCTAAAACACCACAACAACAAAAAAAAAAAAATTAAAACTTAACAAGAACACCACCACCCACCCCAAGCCACTGTCGGCCGCTACCACCACCGCCGACGGTGGTAGAAATGGTAGTAACGATGCACGACCGATTGAATCCATGATGGATCTAGTCAGAAATATCCAGATTTATTACTAGAACTTGTCATTGTTAACGGCCAAAGTTTTGGTCATTGACGGCCAGAGATATGGTCGTCGTTGATGGCCAGTGTTCTGGCTGTTGACGACCAAATCTATCTAGTTGTCTGGCCGTTAACGATGGCCAAACAACCAAATATCTAGTCGAAAATGGCCAGAACAGATATGGTCATTTCTGACAACATCTTTGGCGATCAGGTAGTTTCCAGCCAAATCTACGACGATTTGGTAGTTTCCGGCCATATATCTGGTAGGAAATTGCCATATCGGCAGCATTGGCCAACAGTGGTGGCCAGATTCAATCACCACCCTTGGGTAATTTTTTTCAAGGTTTTAAAACCCAGACTGACCTGACTGGTTTAACCGGTTCGATCGAAACCGATGGCTTAGCCGAGTCGGTCAAGATAGAAAACCGAAAATAAGAATTAACTAAGAATTAACCCGTTTTAGCCCGCGGTTGGACTGGTTTTACTGCCGCGATCCACCGGTCCAACCGGTTTTGTCAACTCAAATTCTTAAGTTCTAAGATTCAAATCCTTTTACAATTTTCAATTAAAGCCATGTGGCTAACCAACCCAAAAAAATAATACTAATCAAAGAAGCCACTAGAAGAAGAGAGAATCCAACTCGAAGAAGAGGAGAAAAAACAAGTGAGAGGAGTTGAAACCCTAGGCTGTTGCTGCTGCGGTGGCCATGGTGGTGGAGAATGGTGGAGGTGCATATAACAGTGGCGGCACACAGCTAATAAGATTTTTTTAAAAAGGAAGAGTGGATGTGTTTGTGTGTTTTTTGTGTAGAAGGCATGCACCTTTTGATTAGAGGAAAGCTGAAGAATCGAAAGAGCTTTAATAATTAAAACAGAAGAAATGAAAGAGTAAAGAACAATAAAGAGAGTTGGAGAAAGAAGTTATTGAAGCTTTCTCTCTCTACTCTTCTTGGTTCCTGCAATTTAAGATAGAAGAGATTGAAAATAAATCATTTAATTTAATAAATAAAGAAGGTTTACTTATATTGAACATAAAAAACAAATATTAAATATCAAGAATGTACTGAATTGCATTTAATGAAAAGCTGTTTGTTGGTGGACACGTATGAGAGGTGAGAGATAAATGAGCTACTGAGATAAAGAAGGAGAGGTGTACAGAAAACATTAAATTGGGTGATGGGATCAAAAAAACGATATCATCGGTTTAATTCACCGGTTCAACCGAGTCAACTGGTTTAACCTGTTAACTCAGGATCCGATCATCTATTTGGGTTACTGATCGGGTCAATTTTTAAAGCAATGATTTTTTTAAAGTCTAATGGTATTTATGTCTTAACAATTTTGCATACAAAGATAAAATAGTCTTTGAATTTTTTGTAAATTTTTTTCAAAACAATGGTATTATTGTCTCAAAATTTTAATAGTTAATGGTAAAATTGTAACAAAATTAAATTACCAAGTAATCTTAAAATACCTAAGAAAATAGAGATAATCAGATTACTTCCTATATTACAAATAGTAAATACTATTGGTTTATAAAGATTACCGTAATCTTATATTACTTGACAACCAAACATAGTAATCAAGTCATATAAGTTGACATTAAACCAAAAATTGGTTGGTTGAGTGGTAAAGGCTTGGGGCCAAGGGGTTTGCTCCCCTGTGGTCTCAGGTTCGAATCACAAAAACGGTTGCTAATATTATTGGCCACAAACTGCAAGGTCTGTCCTATTTTGAGAGCTTTGTTTGGGATCAAATGACTAATTGATGTGTATGTAAACTGGTCCAGACACCTCCAATATATATATATATATATTAACATTGCCTCAACAAAGGGAGATAACACACAAAGTATAGATAAAATTAGATAAACACGGAGATGGGCAAAATTAGAGTGGCAGGTGAGGTAGGTGTAAAATTCAAGCCATGCAAATTATGTAACCAACAACAGCCATCAGAAATATTAATAATAGAAAAACAAGAAAGTAAGTGGAAGCAATGCTGAAGAAAGAAGAATATAGACGGTCGGGCATCAAGTTTAAAGTCATTTTGGTGTGGTGAGTAAATAGCTGCAGGTTTTTGCCATTAATGTTATGGTGCGAGGACATGGAAGAATTCAAAGAAAAACTTGGGTGTCAAGTACTGTCAAGTGTCTGTTGTTTTGAAATTCGAAAAGAAATAAATCACCATTGTTAAATTAATATTCTCTTCAATTTCCTTGGTTGGAACCCCCGAACCATCCGCTCCCGCTTAGGAAACTTTAGCTTCAACGTTATGTCATTGTCCACCACCAACTTTAGTGGCAAACCCCTGGAAACTGGAAACTTATGATTTAGGGAAATAAGGATATGCTTCTGCTAACAATTATAGCTCTTGGTTTGGTGGTAAGCGTGTGATGTTAACAAGTTTTTTTAAGTTCGGTCAGCTGACATTTATAGCTCTTAGTTTAATGGTAAGCATCTATCTTAACAAATGATATCATAGTCTTGTTACTATCTCTGCTAAAAGCTACAAGTGTCTTATGCCACTGTCATTCTAGTGGTAAGCCCAAAATTCTACCATCGGCCTGGTGATAAACGCATAACCCTATTGCCTCTTCTAACAGTTGTAACTTTTGGATTGGTGGTAAATGTAGATATACAAAATCTACCGTCATAAAAATAGGGTCTGATCTCGTGAGATTGAGACCATTGACAATCCCCTAGACCAGGACACATGAAAGGACAAGCGTGAAGCTTCCGAAAAACACTGGGGTGGTGTTTGCCGTAGGCACTCCGACGCTCAAGTCAGCGAGGTTGAAAGAGATTATTTGATAAGAATTAAGGAAATTAAGAATTATCAAGAGTCTTGTCGGAGGTTAGAACTACAGCAGAGGCATCGGGTTCTTGAGAGCAAGAACTTTAAGAGCAAATAGATTATTTTGAGTAGTGTAGATTAACTATGGGAGATTGACTCTTAATGAGAGGGCAAACCTCTGTTTTTATCGTGAACCCAAAAGGTTGGAATCCTAGTAGGACATTGAGTCCTCTTTTTTGAGAGATAATCCCTATCAAGAAAGAAATATGATTTTTTGACCTTATCATATTAAGTTTAATAGTTTAAATAAGATTTGGAATCTTAGTAAGACACTAAGTCTTATTTTGGGAGATAATCCCTATCATGAAAGAGATATGATTTCTTGACCTTATCAGATCAAGTTTAATAGTTTAAATAAGAGTTGGAATCTTAGTAAGACACTAAGTCTTATTTTGGGAGATAATCCCTATCATGAAAGAGATATGATTTCTTGACCTTATCATATCAAGTTTAATAGTTTGAGTAAGATTTGGAATCTTAGTAGAAGAGGAAATGGAATGGGATTCTGATTTCCTATTTATAGACTGTTGCAGGCTAATGGACTGAAACTCAGTTTACCATAACTTATAGGATAGTCCAACTCATAGAGTCGATAGTTCGCAAGGTGATTTTAAGAGTAGACTCAATTGGGATTGGGTTGAGACCTTGAATCATGATATGTTTATTTTATTGTTTGGCCTCGTCAAACCCAAGACAATTTTTAGCCCTAACAGTAAACACCTGATCTTAAGCACCACCATTTTCTAACACTGTAATTTTGCCAAGAGATAAAATGATAACCCTTAGATCATTAAAAGCATTACTGACAACCTGGGAGTCTTAAAGGCTAAACTGCAGTAACTTGGACCAAGATTTAACAGTACTTGCCAACCCCAGTAAGGCAAGACACGGCAACCTTGAATCATTAAGGGCTAACCACGGCATCTTGGACCAAGATTTGACAGCTAAATTATTATATGTTACAGATAATCGATATATACAGTAATAACCCTGTTTATTTCCATGGAGGTCTCGTTTATAAATATGCACAACCAGCCGTAACCCATGTTTAAATTCACCAGCACCAGTATATATATTTTTACACATCTAAAAACCGATGATAGAGACGTGGGATATTGTGTGTCTTCCTGGAGAGGAAACCACCATGAAAAAGACTACAGTTGGCCTCAAACGACTCCATGCGACCAAAAATGTACTAAACACATATTCTTCATCTCTCTTCTTTCTTTCTCGTTTTCTATATTCTTTTTTCTATAAGACTTGTTCTTAGATCCATCATGCCTTGTTTCAATTTTCAGGACAATTATACGGTTGTACCTCAATGGATAATTGTTATGTACAATAAAGAGTTCTTTGGGAACTGCATGGCTCACCCGAACACAAAGAAGAACGAGGTGGATCGTTTTTGCATTGATTGTCTCTCGTCTTTGTGCTGTCACTGTCTTCCGTTTCACACTCGCCACAGATATGTTAAGGTCTCTCTTCTTCCTTTTCTCCAGTAATATATTTTTAGTAAGTAATATGAATTCACTGCCTTAGATTTTCTTTTCCTTGTAAAACTTAATAAAAAAAATTTCATGGCTACTGGATGGTTTTGCTTTTGCAGATTCGTCGATACGTCTATAACGATGTGATCAATCGCCATGATTTGAGCAAACTCTTCAACTGTTCCGGCATTCAAGTATGTTAATTTCCTCAACTCATTCAGAAAATTTGATAATAAAAAGAGAATTAGGGCAAATTTGTGTAGAAACCGTTCATCTTCCCTACTTAATAATTTACAAGATTTTCTTTCAGTCTTAGTTTAGAAATGAGATGAAAAATACAAATAGTAACCTGCAATTTGCTAATGAAATATTTCGCCACCAGATTTATTGAAAAAGGTCCAGAAGAATTTATGATGCACCTATCAATACATTTAATTGTAGTACAAAGCTTTTGTTACATCACTTAAATCCATCATCAGAGTGGGCCAAATTTAAGAAGTTATGGATGACCTTCTTCTCCTTTAATTTTTTTTTTCTAATTCAAATCGGTTCTTCATAGTTATAGATTTATTAATTTAAATTAATTATCATAAGAATTCACTGTTTTTTTAAAATAAATTTCATTTGTTTTTTCACAGACTTATCATACAAATAAAACCAAAGTCCTGTTCTTGAAACAAAGGAATCCTCATCAACAACAACAACCGCAACAAATTAATTCAAAGGATTATGGTTGCATTATTTGTGACAGAAATCTACAAGATAATTCACTCTATTGTAGTATTGCATGCAAGGTCAGTCTCTCTAAATTCCCTCTTTTATTTGTTTTTTTTTTTATTTGGTTTGGATAAATATGTATGATAATAATCATTTGGGATAAATATTTAATATCCTTAATCCTGGTTAATATGACAGGTTGGAGCTCTATTTGGAGATAGACACAGAGAAGAAATTAAAGATAAATCAAATAATAATCACAACCATAATCTAAAACTTATCGTCAAAGATGAAGATGAGGATAAAGAATACTTGACACCACCATCGCCCAAGAGGCAAAAACAAAAGCGATCAAGAAAAGGGATTCCACTAAGGGCTCCAATGCTGTGATTTTCATCACCAGTTTTGTGAATAATTAAAATCATGTGTATTATTATTTCATGTTTAGTAAGAACATATACTACTTAATTTAGATTTAAGCGTACTAATTAATTAAAGTGATTAGGATTGTATAATTATAAATAATATCATTTTGATTTCTCCAACTATCATTTTATCAACACTTATCAATGGATCTTTGACTATATCATACTTGCAGGATCAATTAAAGATATCATATATAGATATGAGTCTAGGGCTGTTATTGAGCCGAGTTTTCGGCTAAACGAGTTCGGCTCAATCAAGGGGGACGAGTTTGAGCCAAGCCAGATGAGCTGCTAATTTCCTAGCTCAACTCGAACTCATTAAGGGAGAGGGGGATTCAAGCTTGGCTCGCAAGCTAGCTTAACGAGCCGAATTTGAGCCAGCTTGCAAGCCACTAGAAAAATGTGCATCTTTGATCTGTAGACTACTTTTTTTATCTTTGATCTTTCCAAGTCTAACTAAAGGAAAAGTATCCATGGAGAAGAACAGTGCCAGCAACAACTCTAAAGACCAGAGAATTGGCAGTAATGCCATTAGAGACTACAACAACAATAATCAAAACTTTAGCAACGTCAAGCTTAAAGATTCACTGAACAGCAACAGCCATAACAATGGAGAAGAATATCTTAGTGGGTATTCATGGCCACCAGGATCTTACACATGTAGCTTCTGCAAAAGCAATTTAGATCTACTCAAGCTCTCGGTGGTCATATGAATGTCCACAGAAGAGACAAAGCTAGGTTGAGGCAGTCACCTCCAAGGGATGGTCAGTACCCAGTTCTTAATCACCTCCAACAAGACGCCCGACAGGAGGAGCAATGGGCAACACGAGCGTGACGGCGAGAATAAGACGGCGACAGCGTGGTGGACGCTAAAACTATCGGTCGGGTAAGAGTTTTAGTGGCTACCCCTATTAGCAACTGAGAAGTAACTCAAACTCAGGACATCTTAAGTAATACACTTAAGAGTCCCTATCAAACCACTTGACCACTGGACTTCGTTTGATTTACTATTCTGATGCTTCGTAGAACGGTATTTTGGAAAAAGTAAAGTTAAATTGAGTTGGGTTATTTTTACGAAAAATGTAATTGTTAATGTTTTTAGTTGAATAAAGTAAAATTGGATTTTGAGAATATTGAAATAAATGTTTTTTTGGGTTTTTAGAATAGAATAATGGAATAGGATAGTGGAAAACTAGTAAAACAAATGCAGCAGATGTTTTTATAACAATATTTATATAAACTCGTATGAGGAGAGGATACAATGATAAATGCCATTCTAGTTTTTATGATATAAGTCAATTAACAATCAACATAAGCCAGAATATTTTAGTGAGTGTTGAATATTGAAAGCAAACTAAAATTAGATAAAAATACGATATGCACCATTGGAAATGTTGTTTTTTCCGACATAGAATAATTGTCAGAAAACACAACTCCTGCATCTCGGACTATGATTTTCGACTCAAAAAATCATGTGCCGGAAAAAAACTGAGCCAGCTTTGTCGAGGACAAAGCTATCTGATGTCAAATGGAGTGTTGTTAAAAGCACTAACACAATCTATATTGTGCTAAACCAAAGTTCAAATTTCAAAATTTATGTCATCTTCTGATGCACTTTTACGTCGGAAATGTTTTAACCTCCTCCAACATGCATGTAAACAAGTTTTAGCAATTCATGGTTTTTTGTCTCTCGACCGCGCTATGAATTTTTTTTCAATTTTAGTACTTAAGTGTCGACGCAATACATGCGTCGAAACCATAAGTGGCCATCTTCCGAGCATGCATGGCATTAAAAATTGGTTTCCTGGCCACTTCTAACACCAAGTGTGCATATGAAATCGAAGAAGTTTGGCTGCTGCCTGCTGGTCATATTCCGACGCGAGGCCAGCATTGGGAATGACAGGCGAGAAACTCCGACGAAGCAGAATACTTATGCCGGCATTGCTTAATTGCATCGCTACAGTGGTAACCTTAATTTGAATGGGAAACATAGGGTACGAGATTGTAAATTATATATATATATATATATATATATAAAGTACTGGACAATAAATAAATATTAATAACATATGCAATAAAAGGGATGTAAGAATTTGTCAAAAAACAAATGGTTATCCATGTATAAAAGCATCTCCAAACGACTCTTTATATAACCTAAACTCTTTATTATAAAGAGTCTATCCATAAAAATAAGAGTCCAACATACTTTTTATCTTTAAAATATAAATTAGAGAGTAAGTTTAGCTCTTCATATTTAGAGAGTCAAATTTCACTCTCTATCCTAATTTTAATTAATAAACTGCAAGTTTTTATACATTTTATTTATTAATTCTCTTTCTCATTAAGTCTCTTTCTAACAAATAAAGAGCATCTTCATTAAATTTAAATAGTCTATTGGATTTGAATAAAAGTTGTGTTCTTTATATTTAAAAATTAATGAAGATGTTCTTTATCTATATAAAAGATGCTCTTCAAAATAAAGATCACCATTGGAGATGCTCTAAGATGTTAGAGTATCTCCAAATGACTCTTTATATGACTCAAACTCTTTATTATAAAGAGTTTATCCTTAAAAATAAAAGTCCAACAGACTCTTTATCTTTAAAATATAAATTAGAGAGTGAATTTGGCTCTCCACATTTAGAGAGTCAAATTCACTCTCTATCCTAAATTTAATTAATAAACTATAAGTTCTTATGCATTTTATTTATTAATTCTCTCTTCCATTAAGCATTTTATTTATTAATTCTCTTTTTCATTAAGTCTCTTTCTTAAAAATAAAGAGCATCTTCATTAAATTTAAAGAGTCTATTGGATTTGAATAAAAATTGTGTCTTTATATTTAAAAATTAATGAAGATGCTCTTTATTTATATAAAAGATGCTCTTCAAAATAAAGATCACCATTGGAGATGCTCTAAGATATTAGAGCATCTCCAAATGACTCTTTATATGACCCAACTCTTTCTTATAAAGAGTTTATCCATAAAAATAAGAGTCTAACAGACTCTTTATCTTTAAAATATAAATTAGAGAGTGAGTTTAACTCTCCACATTTAGAGAGTCAAATTTTACTCTCTATCCTAATTTTAATTAATAAATTATAAGTTTCTATGTATTTTATTTATTAATTCTCTCTCCTGTTAAGCATTTTATTTATTAATTCTCTCTCCCATTAAGTCTCTTTCTTAAAAATAAAGAGTATCTTCATTAAATTTAAAAAGTCTAATAGATTTGAATAAAAATTATATTTTTTATATTTAAAAATTAATAAAATTATTCTTTATTTATGTAAAAGATGCTTTTAAAAAGAAAGAGCAGCATTGAAGATGTAGAAGGGCAGCAGATATAAAAATTCAATTTAAGGTGCAACTAAGTTTCTTGCTGGAACGGCAAGAGAGACAACCTGAACTTTAAATTAAAAAATTAAAGCCATTTAATTTTCAGCTATCTGCTTCTGAACAAACAAGCTGTGTATGCTTGCTTAATTACTTGTTGGTCCAATTATTAATTAATGTAAATAGTGAACTATGTCATAAATTAATTAATAGATATCTATATACTTGACATGAACAACTCAAGTCATTGATCTCTATTTCTTGTTTCTGGAAAAATGAAATAAAATTACTAAAAACTATTATTTAATTGATATGAAAATTCTTTGATATGAATGTCCTTAAATTTTTAGTATATGAATCATATGTTATTATTATTTACCTCAAAATGAAAGATAGTATACCTCTCACTTTGTGGTCAGATGATAAACTCTTTAGTCATTAGAATTAGTTATATTGCGACAGCGTGGTGGACGCTAAAACTATCGGTCGCTAAGAGCTTTTAGTGGCTACCCTATTACAACGAGAAGTAACTCAAACTCAAAACTTCTTAATGTAATACACTAATAGTCCTATCAAACCACTTGCCAGGCTCGTTTGATTTACTATTCTATCTTTGTAAACGAGAAAAAGTAATTAAATTGAGTTAGGTTATTTTTACAAAAATGTATGTTAATGTTTGAGTTGAATAAAGTAAAATTGGATTTTAGAAATTGGAATAAATGTTTTTTTGGGTTTTTAGAATAGATATGGAATAGGATAGTGAAAATAGTAAAACAAATGCAGATGTTTTTATAACATATTTAATAAACTCGTATGAGGAGAGGATACAATGATAAATCCATTCTAGTTTTTATGATATCAGTCAATTAACATCAACTGAACAGCAACAGCCATAACAATGGAGAAGAATATCTTAGTGGGTTTTCATGGCCACCAAGATCTTACAAATGTAGCTTCCAAAACAGCAATTTAGATTTGCTCAAGCTCTCGGTGGTCATATGAATGTCCATAGAAGAGACAGAGCTAGGTTGAGGCAGTCACCTCCAAGGGATGGTCAGTACCCAACTCTTAATCACCTCTAACAAGACGCTCGACGGGAGGAACAATGGGCAACAGGAGCGCGACAACGAGAATAAGACGATGACAACAATAAGACGGTGACGGCGATAGCATGGTGGTGGATTGGGTGATTTTTTCTTTTTTACTTTTAGGGGGCGTTTGGTTCAGGAATGTTAGATTACTATGAATGTTAGATTACTGGGAAGATAGATTACCTTAGAAGATTACTGGGAATATTTAAAAAAATATGTTTGGTTAGTTGGTGGGTATGTTATATGAATATGTTAGGTTATGGAGAATAAATTGGTGGGTATGTTATTTAAATTACTAAATTGTCCCCCTTTTAAATATTAATATAAGATTATTTTTATTATTAATTTTTGAATAATTTCTTTTAACCCCCAATATTTCAGATTTAGCTAAAACACCCCCGCTTATATAAAACTTTCATTTATGACGAAATCACCCCCACCTCCTGCTGCCGCCTGCCGCCACTGCAAACCGCCACCGGAAATCTCCGAAAGCACCTATGAGTACCTCACCGTGACGAAGAGGCTTCGATATGGTTG